GTATGAGTTTATCCGTGTGCCAGAGATTATTAGAATGAATTGTTGCGCGATTTATGAATGCTTAAAATGTGATTATATTACCAGATGTTGTAGCATTTCTAGTGATTCAAATAGAAGTTTTTCAGTGTAATTGATTGTTTGTGCGTTTCATAGCTGATCTCATTTTCAGAAGAGGAACACGATGGTGACATGGTGTCGAATGGAGCTGATTCAAAAGCTGAATCGATCAGCAAGGAGACTAAGTTGGTTTCATCTTTTCTTTCTTGATCGTATCATATCATAACAGATTCTCCAGTCTTTACTCCTTATTTATAAATAATGTACTCTGTGAAGTTGACTATGGAATAACGAAAAGTAATTCTATGGTTTGTTCAGCATCATCGGATCGACTGATTTCTTATAGTGTCTCATTTGCAGGTCACGTCCACAACAACCGTCACGAATGCCCTACTTCAAAAGGATTTCGCTTCGTAAAAAGTTGAATCCGCTTGCGATTGGTTTGAAAAGTCGAATGGACGATGAAGATGCGATCGATTTTTATCGAGAAATTCTGCTTAGAGGGTTCGTTGTTGAGAGTGTATATCTATCTGCACAGTTAACGAAATGGTCGTTTCGTGTACATGTAGCAGTGAGCATGAGAATATGATTTGGCCACTGATTGGGTTCTTCATTTATGTATTTGAAAAAAAAAGAAAGAGAACAAATTTTAGAGAGGATATCAAGAAACCGGATGAGACACAAGAATTTGAAGTTGATATCGAAACGTTACCAGCGATAGAATCCGATGAAGTGGTGGCTGATAATCCAGCAATTGTCATTGCTTGTGCATTGAATGTGATCCAACCGAGGCCAACCGAACTGAACGATGAAAGCGGCGAGAAAGAAGAGATTGGCTTAGAGCGCATACACAATTTGTGAGTAGTTAATCATCGTGTTCGTCGAGTTGTTTTTACCAGCAACCTGCGACACAGAATCTTTTGATTCAAAATAACAACACTCTTGTTTCTTTCCCCCTTCCAGAGGAGTTATTCCGGTTTGGATGTGGTAAGGTTGCGAGCCTAATAATCATTTTATGTTGTTATGCGAAGGAGTGTTGCTTGCAGAGCCTCAAAAGAAAATGATCTGCGAAGGCAATCGCTCAGAAAAGTTTTCAACATCATTTCATCGCAATACACCGCTGAACTAGCCACCGAGCACGTGATGGGTGGTGCGTCGATCCAGTACAACACTCTGATGAAGAATTCGTATCGCTTACGAGATTCGCTGCCAATATTCTCGAAGGTATTCGTTCATTCGCTCAGTTGTTATTTATGGGCAACATTTTTGTAAATGGGCAGAGCTGTTCATGACTCGCAATCGAAAGCACAGCTGGGCGCTATCACTGAGTAGCAGACTAGTGGACTGGTTAGCGCAGTAGCTGTTGTCTAGCCATTATGCACCTCTAATTGAAAATCGTATCGTATGGCTGCACTCAACTTATTGGACAAAAATTTTGGAAATTGTATTTCGAAAAGAACTTAAAAGTTGTTGTTTTTATTTATGGTTAGCAAAGGTTCACGATTATCCAACAGATGGATAGGAAAAGAATTTGACTTCGTTGGTACGGTGATGGAGCGATTTTGAGAGATAATGCGAGATTGATTTGATTTCAGACGAGGTGCGATGCAGCCAAATGGACGCATAAGATACTCATTGAGTGCTTACCCGTGCCTATGCTTGCCACCTACATTAGTCTTTTACGATTTTGTAAAACATCGGTAAGTTTTTCATTCTCTTCAAGAGGGGCGATTTCTTTCATTCCATTTTACTTCTTCTCATTTCATTTTTTACGTTTTCAGTGCGATGCTTAGAGCTACATTCATGTGCTCAGTAAGTTAATTGAAGCGATATGAAAAAATGGTGATTAGAAAATGTGTCTTCATTAGGAGAATTTGTAGCGAAAAGGTTTTTTTAGAGTCGACCATTGGTGGATTTGTTGGTGGGTGAAGAAACAGACGATGAGCAACTGAAGACGTTGAATAGTAAACTAACGGATTTCATTTTCGACAGAGTCACCGACCCACAAACAGCGTCCATTTCACGAACGCTTAATGTAAGTTCAACGAGATGTTCAACGAATTAAGCCTTCGATAAGTTTCGAGATTCACGATAGATTTATTTTGATATTGCCTTGAGTGAATGAATAATTCATTAAATTGCGTGCAGTGATTGTCATTTCGTTAGATCAGATTGTTATGTTGATATCACCTTTGAACTGTATTCGTCGTTGTTAGTGTATGTGTGATATGAATGCGCGTTTT